GATATCTTCCAGCCACCGCGACCGCCAGAAGAACCTGAACCGGATTGCGGAAAGTGTGAATCAGATGAAATGTTCAATGTATGCAAGACCAGCAGTAAAGACTGTCGTCCTTATCTAGCACGCGTATTCTCGGAGCTAAGAGATCTATATGATATAAAGAAGGCACAGTATAAACCCTTCAAACAAGATGAGCGCTGTGAAAAAGAGTTGCAAGGCTCAGGCGGCCGTCAAAAGAAACGTCCACCACAAGATAGTACTGATAAATCAGAGAAACAGAAGAGAAGTCCACAGGAGGAGGAGCAACCCTCCAGACGAAAGAAAAAAACTCGAACAAGAGCTAAGCCGAATGATGTCGAGCAAACCAAGAGGGATAAGAAAGCGTAAGTAAAAGGGACAATACTTTTTACTCTATACATTTTAAAATAAGCTAAAATATATCAAAATGTGTTATACGAGTATAACTTCTTTTACCAGCTACACGTATGGCGGCTCTTTTCCAGTCAAGGACGCTCGTCACCTGAAGTGCGTCAACGGCTTTAACATCGGCAAAAAAAATGTTCCACGTAACATGGGTTGGTTGTGGAATTTGGATACGAATGGCCAAAGGCGAGGCTGGAAACCGGGCGCCATACGCAAACCCATTAAAGAGATTATGAGATTCTTTCTGAAAGATTATCCAGCCGACACGATACGCGTTTCTCAATACGCATATCGCGATCAAGGCAAAGGTGATGGTAAAGAGTGCGGGGAGGAGATGGTACAAAGACCAACATTACATATTTGTAAAAAGAATGACGAGTACTTCATAACGCTACGTCCACTTAAAGATGCCGAAGCTTTGAAGGAATGCGCCGATCCTTATCTTAACATGAGACCCATACAATTTAAAATAACCAAAAATCCGTTAATGGTGGAAATGAGTAAATTGAAGCGCTGCCTCAAACAAATGGGCTTCGCCAAGTGTACTTGCCACAAACCAGTAATTGAGTGCTTCTGTCGAAGTTTCTTGGATAAGAAGCGATTAGAGTATCAGGTCAGTAAGGAATGTCGCAAGCGTGAAATACCCTGCTGTAATAGCACGCTGGTGCTATCCGACACCACCGACTCTGATGTGGAGTTTGATTTCGGTGTAACACCACCTGCTGGCGTTATTAAACCAGAGCGTCTTAAGAAGCCTAACCTAGTCAACCATGGTACACAGTATGTAGAGAACGACTGGAATATACAGCCGAAGTATCCATTTCCGCCCAACAGATTCATGAAAGCATATAATTGTGCAACTGGTGCACATTACGATTTCAGTGGAGGTGGTTATGGTGGTGGTCCTGGAGGAGGTTGGGGTGGTGGTTGGGGCGGTGGCCCCGGTGGTGGTCCTGGCGGCGGCTGGCGTGGAGGTAGAGGTGGTTGGGGTCCTGGTGGTGGCAGAGGTGGTAGGGGTTGGGGACCAGGTGGTGGTCGAGGTGGCTGGGGTCCTGGTGGTGGTAGAGGCGGTTTCGGACCTGGAGGCGGTAGAGGTGGTGGCGCCGGTGGTTGGGGTCCAGGTGGTAGAGGTGGGCGCGGTGGGGGCCGAGGTGGTTGGGGTGGCGCAGGCGGCGGTGGTCCAGGTGGTGGACCCGGTGGCGGACCTGGCGGTCCTGGTGCAATCGGTCCAGATGGCAAACCAATACCCGGTGGAGGTGTTGATATGATGAAATATTTGAAACAAGGCAAAGGTGGTGGTGGTGCTGGCGGTGGTGGTCCTGGAGGATCTGCATATCAAGCGTAAGTGCCATAAAAACAACGTCTTCCTAGCGATGTGTTCATTACCACTGATAAATAAAATCAACTAAACGCAAAAATTATAAAGCTCCGAACAGTTTTCGAATAGTAATTGAAGCAGATACACTTTATCAAGTATTGAGATAATTCCAACATTCCCGGACTTATTGGACGTTATAAATTTAAAGTAATGGCGCAATATAGTTAGCCAAATTATTTTGCTTATTCCAAATTTTTGTACGAAATTATTAGTTAAAGATTAATGTTTTAATAAACATATTTACGCCTAGGCAAATGGAGATGCTTTTGTCTTGAATTGAAGGTGATTGGGCTTCCACTATTCGAGAACTGGACACGGAACGTAAATCAACACACAACGGATTTTCAAAAATATATATTTTTTTATTACTCATCTTTATATATAGGCGACTGCGGCGTGAGCGTTTAACCGAAGTTCCTCCTCCTTTGCTCTGTATGATTGATCGTCGTAGGAAACCAGATCCTTGTTATTATCCATGTTATTCTCCCTGCTATCCGTCTTGCTATTCTCCGTGCTATCCGTGTGGCGATTGTTGTTATCCGTGTCCAGAACGAATATGTTGATTGTTTTACTATAAAATTGGAAAAGTGAAAAAAAAAATTATATTGAGAATTTTGATTTTTTGATTGGGAACTCTGGTTTCTATAGTTGGGATCTCTATTATGAAGACTTTCTAGCGGTGTTGGGAGATTTTTGTTGTAGATTTAACGTTGTTATTAAGTTAACTTTTGGTTAATTCCTTCCAAAATCCGATAACCTTTTTTAAAACTACGTAAAGCGATGACTTTTTGAAAACCCTATATTTTTGAAAGGAATTTCCAACTCTCAACAAACACTTGAAAATACAGAATGTTAAAAACGTGTATTTCTAAATATTTATATATATATTCATATATATTTATGCAAATTTTCGCACTACTAATCAGTTTCGTTGACGCTCCGGTAAACAAAACATTAAAAACTTCGCAACAGCTATTACTACATACACACATACATACGTAATGAATTATTTAATAAATTTTTTTTTCAAAATTTTCATTTACGTCGTGAGGCCAATGAACATTTACAGCTGTTGTACTAAATAATCTCCGATTTAATCTTAATCTATAAGTAAGGTGGTATATGGCTTCAGCTGCATCAGTATGTCTTAAAATAGTATTACTTCTCTATTTATACCTCTTTATGCTGATTGTAGTCGCTTACAATTAAGAAGGTCTGTTATAAATATACATAGTATATCGATACACATGAAGATTCACCTTGAGATATTGTTAGTATTTTTGTGTAAACGTTTTTACAAATCAAATTTATTAGGATAATTTTTCTAAGTTAAAAAAGTAAAGTTTGTTTAGTTAGGTATTATGACGGCCAAGTTCATATTGTGGCAAAATAAAAAAAAAACATCCTGAAGGTGAGTTAAACCATCTTATATTCAGGAAGTGTCTGGAGTCCATCATCTAGTAAAGTGTTTAATTCCTTTTTCAATCAAATCAACAAAAAACTGAGAGCCAACGTGTTTAAATCTTAGTTTCAGAAAAGCAGAATAGTCGAGAGCTGATTCCAGCTCCAACTTTCATTCAATGCCAACAATTATCAACCGAAAAAATGTTTAGTCTGCCTGCATGGGTGCCAATCGGACAATGACAGAACTATGTATACTGAAAGCATATGTTTGGTATATGTATACTCTGAAACTTTATTTTTTAAACTTAGGTACTTATGGTGTTTACTTGCTTAAATAATTGGTACCTATTGCTTTAATAAATGGAACTTTTCTCTCCTTTGTGCTGTGCCAAAAGATTTTCAGACACGTTCGAATGGCTCATAAGTCAATAAATAAGAATGTTGTCTATCGGTCAGCGAAGTTTATTGGTAGAAATGTATTCTACATACATTTTTAAACTGGTTTGTTCACAATGTTAAGGTTCATATAATGGTATTTAAAAAGAAGAAAGTCGATCAAATTTCCTTTGGACCTCAAAGGACCTCTGAACTAAACCAAATTTTGCACTGGTGCAATTTCGGCAAAAATGGAAACTCGTTTTGAAAAAAAGTTGTAGAAAAACATCTTCTAGTTAATTTTAGTTTTCGCAAATATTGCAGGTGAATTTGACATCCAATTTGCCAAAAAGCAACGAAAGTTTGCACACTACTCTAATAAACTAACAGTTAATCATTTTAATGTATAGTTTTATCTGTGAAATCTGCAGAGCGGAACCTTTTGCGAATTTGTTCAAGAGAAGAGATAAATCATTTGAAAATACTAACAAAGTAAAAATACTTGTTTCAAATGTACATATTCTTTGCGTGGTAGGTACGAGAGCGGCTTCAAACCCCCCGACTTTATAATTTAGTAAACTCTTCACATATATACTTACCGAATATTGGAGAAAAAGAAAATTTATTGGATCCACAACTATATTCGTGCGTATTGACAGAGATATTGTAACTTGTTTATTATTCCATTCCAAAAGGCTGTGTTGTATTATGAACTTCTGAAACCAGACGAAACCATCAATGGGGAAACGCCACCGACAACGGCTCATCAAATTTAAGCTAGTGATTGCCGAAAAATGCCCGGAATTTGCGACTAGATGCAAGGCAATAACTTTGCATCATTACAACGCTCGCCCTCGTCCTGCAAGGGGTTTAAAAAATATTTGGAAAACAGCGGCTGAGAAGTTTTGCTTCACTCGCCTTATAGCCCAAACCTTTCCCCTTCTGTCTACCATTTTTTCTGGTTGATGCAGAACGCTGGAATGCGGTTCACATCAGAACAGGGTATTAAAACTTTGGCCTGATTCATTCTTCTTTTTTCGAATTTCGACTATTTAATCTATTTTGCATTAACATTCTTAACTTATCTTATATATCAACTCAGCAGATATTACTAGACTTTTTTTTAAAGAGCACTTCCTGTATAGGCCGCTAGACGCAACCAAACAAAAGCAATCGTCAGCGGCCTTCACAGTCATTTTGTCTCTCTATCACCATTCCCTATAACTGATTGTTATTATTTTTTATTTGACCTAAAGATTAACCAGCAAACGTGGAAGAGAATTAGTGAGGCTTAACTTACTGAAAATATAGTTACTTAGTCACCGAACATTAAAATTTCGACAAATGCATGGCATTAATATAAAAACAATTTTTTTTAGTTGTAAAAACTGTGTGTAGTTCAAAAATTAGTATTTTCAAGAATTTACCCAAATCACCTTCAACCGCCACCGACACTGTGTTGCCTCAAGCTTAGCTTTATGGTGCGCGTGAAGCATGAAAAGCCCGCAAATGAAGACTTTGTCACCGTATATTACCTTTTTCTAACACAATCTCGACTTTATTATTATTTTTGCAATTGTCATCTAATCGTCATAGTTTATTTATGTTTTTGGTTCATATAAACAACGCGGTGTTGCATGCGACCACCTTCAGACCGCTGCCAAACATTTTCGAGACAATACCGCCGCGGAGAGAATGTGTGCGAATTTCGACACGAGCCTATGGTGGAAGGGCCACCATCGAACCAACGGTGTTTTACTGTTATTGTTGTTGCTTTTAAAGCCAACATTTATACAAACATTGCGTGAAATGATCGATGAGAATAGTTTTGATTATTTAAAGATTAACAGCAACAAGCATTATGCAAATACAACGAATATGCCTGAACGCCTAGCATCAAGTGAAGACAGTGGGGTATTACATTACTTTCGGTTCCATGGCTTCGAACCGCGTGCGCTGAGCACCTACACTTGGACTACATCGACAAGCAGACCAACAGTGGAGGTGGAAAGAAAATCTATTGGCAGTAAAGAAAGTGCTAATGCGATCAGCAAAAATGTACCGGAAAACCGCAAGGCTCGTGGTATACACTTTGAGGCCGACGGTAAAGATCTTTCCATCAATTTGGAATTCATTATACCGTTTCTGCGTGTGCCCATCGCGCGTAGTGTTCAAATCACACAAGCGGCTTTTCGTAAATTGGCCGATTTGAATTCGGATACACTGCTGCTCAGCAGTGGCTTTGCAATTGTAGGCGCAATTATAGCGGCGATTATAAAAACCTTCACGACACCTACGCTCCTTGGTTATGGCTATAAAAAAGCCTCACGAGCTGCGGACTTCATGGATGGCTTAAAGTTCGCCAGTTATGTGCCGACGACCGATCAAGGTGATACAGTAACGAAATCTAGTCAGTAAATTCTATTGTATAAGGAATATTAATTGAAATATACATATATTTTTTTCATTTCAGTTATCAAAGTTCAAGATATGCTAAATGTTTTGGAGCGCAATCTATATGCAAACCACATAAATATAAGCGTTTGCGCTCAGCGAGCGATCTGTAGTTATGTGCAGCAAGCCACAACAGGCGTACGCACAGGATTGGGCTCACCCACTGATCGCATCATCGATGGACTTATCAGGTTTGTTGTTTGTGGAATGCTGCAAGTTAAGCAAGTCATACTATATTTCTCTTCTTATTGTTGTTGGAGCACAGTTTGGATCTGCTGAAGAACTATTTGAATGGCACCGCTTTGCATAATGCTATAGACATGGGTCGTACGAAGGATATCACGGATTGTGAGCTCATATATCGCGATTGTGAATGGTCGAAACTGCAAAATAAAGCTTGGGAAATAGCGAAGAAGTTTTTTATTGGATATCTCGGGAGACAGGTGTAGTGACTTTAGTGACACCACGTTCGAGTTGTGCTTGTACCGTTATTGTTGTTAAAAAGCTGTTATAATATTTCTATAATTTTAAAATAGTGTAGTATTTTTATATTTTTTCTATGAGCTTAAGTGCCAAAAATATATCTTTATTTATTTTTTACCTAAACTAATTTATAAAGCAACTGTGTTTTTCTAAATGAGTCGGTAGGTAATAATAAGACTTTGGTAGTTTATGGTTATTTATATTATATTGAAAACCTTTTTCTAATAAGATATCATAAATAATTTAAGAAAAATTTGAAAAATATGCAGCGAAGTTGAGGTGGATCTAATATTGCCAAAAAGAAAAATCATTCTTGGTCAACTATTTGGAAAATTATGAACTTTTTCGACACATAAACTATTTACAAATTCATATGCCATAATTTATGGAATTTTCAAAAATGAAAACGGAGTTTTAAACTGAAATTGAAACTATAACTCTTTTTTTTAATTTTCGACATTTACCGTTACTTAGAATCCGTAAACTTTAAATAAAATTAAAAACGATGTTTGTTTAGAAGATAGGCGACGTGTTTTTAGGTAGTAAAGCGATTCTGGCATATTCATAGTTCCTGCCGCAACGAATTATTACCGTATTACATAATTCGTTTACATTTTTGGTCCTTCTGAGTAATTCAGATCACCATTAGCAGTATTTATTAGCTCTAAAGCGACGTTCAACCGAACATTCTCCTACTCGCCTCAATCACAAAGCACCCAAAAATATTTGTTGACATATACCTAGATTATCTCCAAAGTCCTAATTCAACTATTTCTAAGACTATTTTCCTGATTTTTACCAATTACACAGGTCAACATAAACAACATTTTTTTTTGAACTTTGGTTTTACTTAATATATTCTGGTTATTTAAGCAAATATACAAGTATATATAAATTATAGCCATTTGATTTTCGAGCTCATATAATATCGGTCTTCGCGGGCTGTTGCCGTCAAAAAAGAGGGAAAAGCACAAGAGATAGTCTCGATTGTAACGGTCGTTGCGTACGACAGTATGTGTCCGCAAATTGCACAGATGATAATGTGTTTCATAATTTTGTTTCCTGTAACCACCAGTACAAAATACTATTGAGAAGTTGTAAACGAATCGCTGACTCGTTTTCCTTTATATGCGACGAATTTATTAAAATGAGAGAAAAAAAGTACAATATGATTTAAGTAAAAATTTAAAGATTTGGGAAACATGTCAAAGTTACTTCAATATACCTGTTAAAAATTAGGAAAAAAAAATCAGCTGCATATGTGTCACGTAACTGTTCTGGATGCTGAGTTTATTTGCTCTTTTTTTATAATAACTATGAACTATTTTGATAACATTAATTAGGTTATAATATGTAACGTTTTATTATAGGCTTGTACCGAGGTGAAAAAAGAGCACTGAAGTTTGCAGTGTCGAGAATTCGGAGGGAACCAGGTTATCATCTTTCAAATATTTGAAACATTTTTTTTAAGCTTTCAAAGGAGAAAATAAAAGCTGGAATCTTTTTAGGCTTAATTTAATTAATTTCTTTAATTATGAGTTGTGATATTTCCCGGAATTACTTAGCAATGAGGAGAAATAAGTCTTAAACAATTTTTAAGGCAGTAATGCATGGTTTCCTTGGCAACCATAGAGCTGACAATTATAACGAGCTGAGCACTGACATGATTAGGAGTTTCTCCATCATCGGATGTAGAATGTCTCTAAAGAAACACAATGTGTGTATTACACATGTTATACTTTTATTTAGATAAATTTAAAGATAATATGAGAGATTAGCCTGCAAACCAAGGAGAACACTTATATCAAGATATAATAGAATTTGAGAGACTTTACCCAGGCCAGTATACATTATTGGGGACTATATTTGGAATTTATTAAGAGAAACTTCTACGGAACATGACAAGAAAAGTTAAACAGTTAACTTTTAAACTTCAGAGTATAATTTAAAATGTCTAATGGAACGTCCACATTCGGAAAGGTTCGTCATTTAGTTATTTATTAAGTAATTTTGAGTAGCTACAAAGTTTATTTTAGAAATCACATACACGATTGTATGTAGATGCATATAACTATTCCTTTCTATTTTCTTTTTACAACTGACCTTGATGTCATCAAGCTTTACACAAGTGTTACAATATTTTATGCAAATTACTTTTATATGTACACAAGTATGTACAAGTATGTACTTGTATATAAGTACGCATAGACTCATATCTAGATCAAAAATTAAGTCACTCTATCAAATCATCACACACTTAGATTACTTGCAAAAAAACCGAGACAACTAGGCGATAAATACATAACAAATTCGAATTAGCTCACCTGTTTAAAGAGCACATCACACATGTGCAAATAACTACATTTAATATGACACATTACATATGATTACCCGAACCAAGTAGTGCAAACCCAGACAACCAAAATTGTTCAGTCCAATTGATGTGTGTTTCAAACGAGCAGCAGAGCATGTCATACATACTCGTATGTTGAAATGTAAAGCATTTCCTTTCTGCGGTCTCATATAAAACGAAATTCTTCACGAAATTTCCTGTAGAAGCTTTTATACCATCATCCAAGGCAGGCGGGTATACACTTGAAAATTTACAGTTTAACACAAAATATTTGCAGATATTTCTGGTAAATATGTTACTAAATGCTTTAATAGTTGCGCTCTTGCCATTGGGTGGTTACGCAACGGACACCACCAATATTTTTTTACCATCCGAACGCAGTGGACACAATAGCTTTTTCTCATTTCTTCCACTCGGCGACGATGTAGCAATGGGACTGGATTTTGAGTTGCCTTTCCTTAAGGTGCCAATCAAGCGTTATGTAGACAAGTACGGCAACTCTCCGGTAATATTAATCACATGAAATATTCTGCTATAAATACATACATACATATATTTATGTTATAAGAATATAGTATGTATATTCTTTGCAGGCTATGGTGAACATCAATACAGCATCTTTGATAACCAGTGGTCTATTGACCGGTGGTAGCCTGATTGTGGGGCATCTTCTGCGTTCACTTTCTTTTAAAGGACGATCGTTTGAGGATGAAGAGACGATGCTTTTGGAAGGTGGCATCAAAAAGACTGAGAAGAAAAAATTTAATGAGGAAGAAACAGGGAAAAGAGAGAAACGTGACTTCGATTCCCAAAATAATTCTTACGATGCTAAAAATATTTTCAATTACTTTCGTTTAGTCTACAAAAATGACACCGGCGAGCGAATTGGTAAGATGATTTTGATTTAAACACTTAATAATTGAGAGGAGCTCGTGTATAGAGAATTGATCCTTAATTTTGTATGTACCTTCCTTCGCTAACTTCGCTGAATTTGCTTCATAACACCAGTCATTCATGGCATTCCATAAGAAATTCAATCGACGTTATGTCTTTAGCTACGTACGTACGTAGGTATATTTTTCTAGTTATCGAGCTGCTGTGCCAGACACCAAATATCTATAGAATTTTGTGCTATGGCGCATCAATCGCCTTAAACCAAAGCCGGTCCTAGTTAATTTCACCCCTTTTCTACACAAAAAAGGCGATTTCAGATCTCCATTGTGCTCACTGTTGCCCAAAATCTCGTATTTCTTCAAAAACGAGGACATAATACAACCGCTCCGGAACCTTAGCTAACTATCTTCTAGAAAACATTGACTTCCCGGCGAACAACAAACAACCAGGAGTTCAGTTCAAAATGAAAGACCATAATGATGGGTGGAACCTCGGAACTCAATTGTAAACTCTCGGTTAGGCCAACAACATGGATGTTGTGTTATAACTTGCCAGTCTGAAAGTATTTTCAAAGATTTTAGTTAGACGAGGTAGGGTCTAATTTCCCGTATACGAATGGCTAATAAATTCTCTCATGGCTATTTTATGGAATAAATACATTCGGTAGTTTGATAATGGCAACTGTGACAACTATATTCTAGTCTCGTCCGAAATTGAGCACACATCCCATTAAACAGTTGCCATACTGAGCTAAATATTATCGGCTATACATTTTCAAAAATACTTTTATAAAACTTCCTTTTCTCCTTCCACAGAGACGACACTACCAAGCCTTTTTGCACGTATCGAGGAGACATTCTTGGATAAAAAAATCGACATCGCTGCTTGCGTGCAAAAAACCATTTGCCTAATGCTGCAGGAATCCAGTCAAAAAGTGCGTCACGGACAGGCGACAAGCATGCAAAAAATCGTCGATGGTTTGACGAGCTTTTCGTGGGTATTGGATATGTTCGCGCCTTACGGAGAGTTGAGAAAAGCGATAAAGGCGGGCAAAACGAATGTAAATGCAAGTTGTGTAATCGCATATCCCACATGTCACTGGTCCAATCCAGCAAGTGAACTAACAGAGCTCCTGTGCAATCATGTAAAGTTTACGTAGGCCGTCACAACCGGAAAACTTTTTTTACTATTAATTATTATTATAAGTATTTTTATACTTACTTTCGCTAAGTTTCGCTTGAAATAAAAACAAAAAATGTGTTTTTTTTATTACAATTTACGATTCAATTAATATTTATTTAGAATTAAACTCACAATTTTATATGCATTTATGTTATGTGTAGATTATTGCCAAAACAGAAATAATAATAAAAAAATATTGTAGGTGAGAACAAAATCAAAATAAAACTAAAAATTTGTTTTATTAAATGTTTACTGATGAATAAAGGAGTGAAAAAATTGCCAAATATTAATATGTCTTAAATAACAGTTAGAAGTAACAACTAAATTTGCAGAGTATACAGTTATACATTTTTTCAATTTACTTTGAATTTTTCTATTTCTGGATTATATTAAAATTTACTAATTCTTGACTATAGATTTGGTAATTTATCTACGCTTTGCTTAAACGCACATGCAGTGAGAAAGTTTTTGTTTTCGTTTAAGCAAAAATTATTATTTTTTATAACTACTTAGTGTTTGTAAAAAAATTTACAACAATTTATCTTCTACTGAAGAGTACCGCTTTTCACTAAAAATGTCAAACAATTTTTTTAAGCTACTACCAACGAAATAAATCAATAAACCCACATATTTTTAGAAGCAAAGAAACTTTTGCAAAATGCAAACACCAAATACATACAAAATTTTATAAGTTTTAAAAAATTTTAATTGAATGTAAATTGTAATTTTATTTTTAATAACTCTAATATATTGTTATAACATGCTTTGCAAAAATTGTCTGACTTTTTTGTAAAAAACGAGCACTCAATGTAAATAAAAGTGTCAATCAAAACTGTTGCATACTGGGAAAAATTCAAATTTTGGTACTGCTTCAAGCCAATAATATATACATATTATGTTTTACGATCATACAAAAACTTTCTCTACATTAATGCTTTGTAGATTTTCCTTTACTGTGTTTGAAATTTAAAAATAAATTTTATTCCTTTGTTTTTGAGTATAAGTTTTAGTAAAATTTTTTTGTATAAAAAAATTATTCTTCTCTGCTTTTATTAAAGTAATGCTTAAACATTTTTTATAATTATTTATGATTGTTTTTAATATTTTTTTTATATATATTGTATAATAACTAGCACTTAACCTAGATTAGATTTTTTTGTTTCATCATAGTTTTTGTGTGGTCTACTAAATTTTTACAGGTTTTTTGTGTGGTGTCTTTGAATATTAAAAGTGACAGAATTGATATTTTTTGAAAATTAAACGCAAAAAAACAGAAAAATATAATAATTATTATGATTATTATAAAAAAAATAAGAAAATAAAATATGTATAAACAAAATAAAAGTAAGAATATGGACATTAAAATTAATATAAGAAAAAAAAAATGTTTATAAAAAATTAAAAATAAAAAGTAAAAAATAGAAATAATGTAAAATTAAAAAATACGAAATAAAAGAAAATTTAAATAAAAAAATTAAGTTATAAAAAGACAAAAAAAAGAAAGTTAAAAATAACGAAATGGAAAAAAGTAGAAAAATAAAAAATTAAAAGAACATTAAAATAAAACAATGAAAAAATGAGAATAAACAAGCAAAAAAAAAACAAAAAATAATAAAAAATAAAGTAACTGGTTCTTGAGGTTTTTTTTAATATATTTCTTTTTACAGTATATTATTTTGTGTTTGCTTAAAAAAAATTATATCCTTTAAAGAAAAAATTAGATTTAATTTCCAGATGTCAAGTGTTTGTTTTTTTAATAAAATTTTTTTTAGTAATAATTTTTATAAACAGTTTTAAACGCAAAAACTATGACATTTTTTTTATTTATTTAAAAAAATTTTTTTTTGTTAACTTTGTGTTAACTTTTTTCAATTTTCATATATGTTTGTACGTACTATATAAAGATTTGCACTTACATAACTAATCGCAATGTTTACTTCTGTTTTGGGCAGTAAAAAGTTAAGACTAACAAAGTTTTTAAATGTATATTTACTGCTGTTCTATTTGTTGTTATTTCTTTTATTTTTTTATTTTTTACTGCTGACTACACAAATTTCTTATTATTTCTATGTGGGTTCTTGATTCGGTTAAAAGTTGTTGCTATATGATTGTATGTATGTGCTGCTTGGTTACCTTTAATATTTTTCGAAAATTACATAAACTTAAGAAAAATCCAAAAACGATTAAAATTTTTAAACTTGAAAAAATTAAGAAATAACAGTCCAGCACTCAATTGTTTAGATTATTGCTTGAAGAAGCGTTCTGCCAGCATAAATGAAGCGAGCCTAAGCGATTTGAAAAAATCGCACATGCATGTTTTTCAACATTTTTGGAACAATTCGTAACACGTACTGTAAGAAACTGTTTGGTTTTGCAAGTAATTTTAACAAAATTAAAAAAACAAAAACTTATGCGTATATGCTTCATGGGAATCCCTTCAATTTTAACTTGTCTCGAAACATGTTCTCTAGGTTCATCTGTAATGTTTTCGAAATGAAATTGTCCTTCAAAAAATCGCTTTATTTATGCCAGCCAAATATTTTTAAACCGAACAGCTTTTCAAGCGTTTATACATTCCAATATTATAATATAAATTTTTTTTTTTTGAGGTGTGAGCTTTAAAAGTTGTTATGTTGTTCCTACTCAGTGGTCTGTAAACCTTTTTGCTGTATTCATTAAGTGTGATGGTATTTCTATATTCTCTATTGTTTCTATTTCTCTTTACCTGAAACCAAATTAATTGCATTATGTGTGTGTTTGTTGGTAACTGTCCCGTAAGAAAATAAAGTATTCGTAAAAATATTCCTTTCTCAAATTTTCCTTCCTATCCCGTTTTGCGTATTCTCTAAGCCTATTACGCAAATCCAAAAGCTCGAGCTTGCTATTCGTCAACAACAAATTATAGCCAAAATGAGCTTTTCCAGGTTTAACAGCACAACTAATCGAATTTTCAAAATAAAAGAGCAAAATTCGGTGACGAAGGATCGCTTTTAGTTTTCTTTTCTTTTCTCAATAGCGATATCCTCTGTCACCGGCGCCAACAATTGAATAATGCTTCAGCCATCGCTTCTTGTTTGCACAAGGTATTTGTTAATGTCGACCACAGTTCTTCCGAAAACTTCCGAATGATGGCTTTATTTACAGTTACCCCGTTACAATCTGTTTTGTGCGTGCGCCAATTGTTTTTCCCCACAACCTATACAATTATTTTAGCATCTCCCTACCTTTTACATATGTACGTGTGTAAATGCATTGAATATGTTATAAAGCTCTTTCTTAACCCCCAATATTTTCCCTATTTCGTCTGCCTTGTCATCGTCTCTTCGACGATTTCGTCTTTGTCGTGTGTAAATGTTTGGTTCGTATTTTCCGTATAGTTTTAGTATGGCCTACGTTCACCGCTGACTAGGCCATCTCGTGGCTCCAGTTGTTAAGCACATTATCAATTTCAGTTGGTCCTAACAATGGCTCGGTTGGCACAGCGTAATCATCATTACATAAATCCATTATAAACGGTTCCATGAGTGGATTCATATTATCGATGAAAGATGTTAGCGAACCCTTACGACCGCCAGCAGGACTATTGGTCGTCGTCTCGCCTAAACTGGCAATACCGTTGCCAGCAGGTGGTGTTTGTTGTTGTTGTTTCGCTTGTACCTCACTGAGCAATGCACGCTTTTTGGCCGCTTTGCTGTTCAAGCATTTCATTAAAAGCATATCCTTGGTGGCGGCCGAGCAACCGCTTGTCGACGTCTCGAAATGTGGGCTGCTAGGTTGTTCCAATTGTATTTTAATCGGTGAGGAGGTTTCAATCATGCTAATTTCGTCTATGCCGCTGTCCGAAGTCGATTCCGTGTCGGCCGGTGTAAGGCCAGGTGGGCTTAGTTCGCCGCTGCTGCTGCCGATAGAACTATCGTTACTGCTAGCCGCTCCAAATAGTGGTGATGGCAACACACCGGGACCGCCAATCATGGGATTGTGACGATAGTTGCGTAACAATGCAGCCGTCGATGTTTGACAATGTAAAGGTTTAATGAGTGATGGCGACATGGCCGACGGTGGTGGAGATGGTGCTTGACCCAATGAGTCTTCATCCATGAGCATACCGCTCTCCTTAGTAAAGGTAGGTGTCTATTGTGTGGTTATGGTATTAAGAAAGAGAAAATAATTAGAAAAATAAATTAGTTTTACAGTTTTTAATTATTTTACAAATAAGTTTTTTAAAGTCGAAAGAGAATAAGCGTTCCAGAATCACCCGAAAATTAAGAAAGTTAAAGCTGTGACTACTCACGTGCATTCCGCTGTTCTATGTTAACGTTAAAATATCTATTACATTTATTTGGGATAATATCTGGAATGAGTACTTGTGATGAAAACCAATATTTGACTTTAAAATGTCAAATCCTGGACTTGTGCGCTTTTGGAAGTACAACAAATTCTTTTTCGACTTTCAATTAGATATATAGGTATTTAATTAAAAATAGAGTTTAACTAATAACATTTCCAAATTCTTGAAATTTACCAATGCAATGGTTATAAGTTAGAGTTTAAGAAATTTTCTAAAAATAAATTACTTTCATTTTAATAAATTTGTATATGGATCGATTTTTGTTTAATATTCTTATAAAATACTCGATATAGATTTAGGTTGGGTTTATGCTTTCATTAATAATACTAATTTTAATAGAAGTACAAACTTAACCTAAGTGTATTTATAATTTTTGTTTAATTTTATATTTATTTATTTATTATTTGTTTAATATTTTAATTATAATTTTGACAATGTAGTTCTTAATTTATTAAATTATTGATGTTAACATTAGTTTACAATCTATTGCCATACATACTAATTTTTTTTGCATATCTTTTATATGTGTATACATACTTGTATATTGTTTGTAAACCCTTTCACTTGATTATCAGCTAAATTATCATAAAATAGTTTTTTCGAAATACGTTTACTTTTTCACCAGATTATATTATTTTAAATAAATATTTTATTTAGTTGATAAATATAGCAACTACAAGGAATAAGTTTCAAATATGACTTTATAATAAGATATAGTCTATTTTTCTGCAGTCTCCACCTAACTAACTTAGTTGAAAAAATAATAATACATCTGCGTATAAATATATGTACATACATATATATATATAAATTAAGTATCACGTTTTCTCCGGGGTTATCTTCTAATTTACTGATTTTAGTAAAATTAGCAAACTATGCCCAGTTTGATACAACTTAAAATGTAGAATATTTTATATCTCAATTATATTAAAAGTAAAACAATTCATAAATAAAAAAAAATGTTTCTAAACAAAAGCATGTTTTCAAAATTAAAAAAAAAATTTAATTAAATTTTCAGTAAAATGAATAGTTTTCAAAATTACGTTTTCGCCTATTTTAAATAATATTTTCACTATTTTGAATAGTTTATTATATAAGTAAAATTATTTAATATAGATATATCATAGCCATAGGATGACCGAATGTACTACTTGTATATGTACATATATATATAGATTACACATATTGACTATTGGTAATAAAAAAGGTAGTATTTCTTCTTGGACACACTATTTGGAACCGGTAAGACTGTGAGTTCAATCCTACTAACCTATTAACACTAGAACTACAAACCGGTAAAAATAACCGATTGCATCATTAATTTATACCATTTCCTCTTTATTCCTATTTAATATTTCACAATAATTTCATGATTTTTATTAAATTTGTGTATATAATTATATTATAGATTATTTTGTTCTTACGCTTTTAATTTTCAGAGAGAGATATAGCTATTTGAAATAGGTATATGATAAATCTTCGTAGTTCTAGTGTTAAATACATAAGTACTTGTAGGTTATTATAATACAATCTTGAATGTATACCCAAGTCCATAGAGAGAAAACCGGGGCTCGGACGGAAATAGGGAGAGGACTCCCCGATCCATCAATTTATTGAAATTATATTTTATTTATTTTGAGAAAAAATTTGTTTAATTTTACGGTATGTACTTGTATATTTTTTGTTGATGTTACTTGTTCTCAAATACATATGTATATGATAACTCGGGTAAAGCATCATGAAGAAACATTGATGCTGATTTCAAAGAATTAAAATTTTCAATTGCTGATGACCGCTGAGAAGCATAATTTTAAATTACAACATTACAAGCAATTATTCGTATGAAATAAATTAATTCATAATGGTACTGAATTGTTGGAGAAAAAAATTTGCAAAAAATTGTTGTAAACCACTGGGCCCCGATCTAAATAGTTCTTTTTAGCGCTAATGGTTTAATTTAATAATTATAAATTAGAACATGGTTGCCACCTGTATTTAGTAAATTTATATGATATTTAGTGATATAAAGTTATTTAAATGCTTGCTTACAAAAGGAAGTCAGTTCTCAAAATTTAAACTTGATTGAATAAGGCAAAAGGTGGTTTGAAAAATACTATTCGAAAATAGAATGGAGTGTCTTCAAATAAATTTTTTCATGGTGATATACAGTTATAATTATAGTATTCGATCTAAACAATCTCCTCGGATATTGTAGCGTTTCCTTGAACAATAATCTATGTCAAATGGCATGAAACAAAAAAGTTTTCCATGCAAGAACTTGATTCCGGTTGTTTAGTTTTTATGGCAGCTATTTGCTTTTCTTGACTGAAAGTGATAAGAGCAAAATCTGAGCATTTTTTGTATATATATTCAATCGTAAGCAGAGAAACAATTACAAAATAACGATAAGGCTATTTAAGTATATATGTACCATACTTATCACATATCAAATGTTATCTACAACAACACCTAATTTAAAAAAAAAGAAACTACCTTCCCCGCAAAACCTTAACATAATGAAACTTTTTAATTTCACTCTAAAATTAATAACACCTTGTAAACCACTGAAATATTATTATATCTAATCAAGGTTCAAAGATTATCATCGAACAGCAGCGCTAAGTAACAAACAAAAACCGTTCTAGATACAAACAACCGCACATATCTGCAAAAGCACACATAAGAGGTGTGTTCAAAGGAGAAGGTGAAATTTGATTTTTCGCGAGCTGTGTAGAAAGAATATGTATTAACTTTGTCTCAAAAAAGTGTTTATAATTGGTACAAGCGCTTTACAGAAGGCCGCGAATATATTGATAATGATGAGCATTCTTGAGGTTCGACCACGTCAACAAGCGAAAAAAGATACAATCAGTAAAAAAAAATTGTTCTTGAAAATCGCCGAATCGTTATTAGGGAAAATGCAGAGTATGTTGGCATATCGATCGGCACATACCATTATATTTTTTCGAATGTTTAGGGCATGAAAGGTGTGGCAGCGATGTTTGTTCCGAAATTGCTAAATTTTGTATAGTGCACCAGTTCACACATCAATGCTTATTCGTGATTTTTTGATCAAAAACAAAACCGTAATCATGCCTCAACCACCGTATTCCCAAGATTTTGCTCCCTGCGACTTTTTCCTATTCCCAAACCTGAAGAAACCAATGAAGAAAAACCGTTGGGACAAGTGTTACTTTGAAGGGGACCAAATAGGTATTGATGAATAAATAAATTTAAAAAAAGTTCAAAATTTTTCTTTTCCTTTGTTGTCCTGTATTGCTCATACGACATGGTGGACTATACTAATACTGTATGTTTGATGCATAACTTTAACTGGGTAGAACTTAGAAAAGAATGTTTATTCGAAAAAACCAATAAGACCTTTTTTGTAGAGTGCAAAATATGTATGGGAATATCTTGTTTTCAAAGTTTTTTTTGCTTTACAGATAAAAAAGTTTAATTCAAAAGATCAAACTATCTCATGTTTAATACTTAGGAAAAATTATATGATTTAAGATAAAAAAGTTTTATATAAAAGTTTTTTTGTGAGAAAAAAGTCAATTTGGAAATAACGGACACCCTCAAATATACTCGTATATACATATGTAGAGGTATTTTTGTGTATGATTGTATGCAGAAAAGTAAATACATAGATTGATTGAATAAATTTTATAAATAAATAAGAAGGCTGGTTTTATGTAAGAAGAAGCAAACTTTGATAGCGAGTAGAGTCTAATTATAGATAAATGATAACAAAAAATGTTTACAGTTGCAAATAAACAGCAAAGTCATAAAAAACTGAACCATATGCATGAATATCTGTAAATAGCATTGTAGTAGGTATATCGAGGAAATCTTACGATATGATTATACATATTATAAAAGAGAGAGAGAAAAAAGGCATATATATATAGGTACATAAATGAGTATATATTATATACCTATATAAATACAAAAACACATCCGCTATGAGCTTTTTATGTATTCAAGTTATTCTGCTTGTTCGGCAACTGTTTCCAGGAAAAAGCTTCCCGCTAGAGCTTTTCGTAAAACAAGCTACAACATGCAATAAGAATTTCAAAACACAACGGTCTTTGACCCTATCGCCCACACGCACACACACATACATATGTTTGCTTGTTGTTTTGACGCCCTGTCATAGCAGAACGGAAAATGAAAGTGAAAACGGCACTTGTGCGCCGTGTTGTTGCAGGTCATTAATGTATTTGCCAGCATGCAAGCAATACGGAAATGCTCATACCTACGAGCACGCTGAGTGGCGCCTCTGTTCGGCATGATTTTACAAAACTTTCGACTGACTCAATAAAAAGTGCCTTCTTCCTCACTCAATTAATGCTTTTAATTAAGTAAAGATGTTTGATTTTGTCATTCATTCCTTCTATCAATTATCTGTGCGTAACATTTTTTGCTCGTGATTTAGGCAGCGTAAGTGCATGTGTTCACTTATAGTAGTCTACTTTAAGGCGCTTCAACTTACGTGGGCAATAAGTTCTTAAACGCTTATAATATAAAATTGCTGTCGTATTTATAATGATTTTGCTGCATATTACCGCCGAATATGTAAGCCAAAAAGATTTGTGGGGCGCGTTAGCGAAGCAAAGTGGGTAGCAAGACTCGCCAGTTGACTAGGCGACTTTTACACAAGCAAGCAGTAATTAATGAGCTCATTTCTATGCGTATCAAATATTTACAATCCTGACATTAGAAAAAGTTGAATATGATACAAATAATGCGTAAATACATACATATTCATAAATAGAAA